AGGATAAGGCATTGCAGTGTGACCATCCCCCCTGGGGGGGTGATTTCTCGCTTTCTGTCTCTCTCTCTCTGTCTCTCTCTGTATGGTGAGCGCACGCGCCCTATAGCAAAAACCTCTAAAAAGCAAAAACCATCTACCTGGAAATCTTTCATTAAAAAAATAATAATAATAAATTTAAAAATAAAGAGAATTTGGGAGAGAGTGAATATGCATCTCGAGTAAAAGAAAAATAGATTTCAGGACCAGCGGATGTCGTGGTGGTTAAGACACTGGACACTCCCATGTGACCAACCACGGTTCAAGTCCTAGACGTGGTGGCTTGCTTTCTTCCTTTCCTTCTCTCTCTTTGTCCCTCTCTGGTCAAATTAAAAATGAATGAATAATAAAATTAAATAAATCATTTTTTTAAAGAAAAATGGATTTAATTTCACAGTATCATAAGATTGGTACACTTAATTTCAATTCTGGGATTTCATCAGTAAGGTCTATATAATCACATTGATTTCTAGCTGTACCATATTAACGTTAATTTGCTACTTGTACACATGAACTTAGTTAAGCAGTAAAGGGAATTACTGAGGAAAGTATCCCTATCAACCTGTGGGGTGGAGGTCAGAGTTTTGATGATCATAGAGCGTGGAGGTGGGTACTTGTAGTTGTAGGGTGCCAATGGCGTTTTACATCCTGATGTAATAGAGTTAGATTTGTGCACTATATTATATGTGTTACACTTTAATAAAAAATTGAGGTAAAAAAAGTAGACAGGGGGCCAGCAGGTACGATAGTTGTTTAGGCACTAGGCTCCCACATGGCTGGCTGTGGTTTGAGTCCCGGACCCAGTGGCTTGAAACTCACACCGGATGTGTGCATGTGCGCCCCAAATCCTGAGAGAAGAATGGAGGAGAAGGGACTGAGGCATGGCCATTCCCTCTGTGGGGGGGGGGTGATTTCTCGCTTTCTCTCCCTCTGTCTCTCCATAACCAAAATTTCTTTCTTTTAAAAAAAGAAAAAAGTAGGTAGGTCTTATCACAGTTATTTTAGTCTAATAATATCATGTGATTCTAAGATAAAGGCTTCAGAATTATTGTGACATATTTATACCTTGTGTATAAGTCTTCAGTCTATCTGAAGATAAAAACTAAATTAAACATTTTCAGAAACTGAAATGAAATGCAGTCTGTTTTCCTTTCGGTTAAATTCAGTACTTAAGCTTCCTTCTGTGAGTAGTTCCTTGTAGAATGCACATCCAGTGCGGCATGTTTAATTAATATTGATCCCAAATGTATTGACGCTTAAAATCCATCAGCGACCACCAGATAGCGTTCGGTCCTTTGTGTTCACGAGTTACTTCCCATTTAATACATGAGGAGATACAGACCCCGAACACTGGGGGACTGTGTAGCCTTCTGAGCCCTCAAAAGGGTGCTTTGAATAGGGGGATTTGAAAAGTTCATGGAAAATAGAATTAGAGGACAAGTTTATTTGGGTACAAAAAAAGAAATCCCATGCATGGATGTTTTTGGTGGATATACATTTTCCATGAACTTTTTGTTCACTTACCAGAGGGCATGTGCAGAGAAAAAGTAACCCAGGGGGGTGTGGTAACGGCACAATCTTTCCTTCATTTCTCCATCCTGTCAGCATTTTTGAGCACGCCCACACATACACTCAGTGGGTTTCGTTTCTTTTTTTTTTTAAGTAATTATTTAATTTTATTTGTAGTTTTTTGTTTTGTTTTGTTTTGAACCAGAGAGAGACAGAGAAATAGAAAGGGAAAATGAGAAAGCAAGCTACCAGGTCAGGGATTCAAACTGCCGTCCAACTGGGAGTCTAGTACTTTAACCACCATGCCACCTGCTGCCCTCCTAAGTATATTTCTTAAGCCATCAGACCGGGTTTTGAACTGCGCTCCGCCATGTGGGATCGGGCTCCCAGTGCACAGAGCTCGATGATGGCCCTTTGGGGCTGCCGCTCCATGAACTTTTTTGAATACTCCCCCCCCCCATTTGGAAACGGTTTGAGTTGTGTAAATGCCCCTAGAAGATGCTGGTGCCTTTTATTTTGTCTTTAAACCTTCCTTCTGAAATATCATCTGAATGATCTGTTAGCACTGCGGTTCAAATAATAATTGTGGCTTTCCTCTTACATTTCAGGCAGTTCCTTTCAGTCTTGACAGCGTTGCAAATTCCATTCACTCCTTATTTTCTGAAGAAACTCCTGTAGTTTTGCAGTTGGCTCCCAGTGAGGAAGTAAGTGGTAACAGTTTTTATTTAAGGTGCTTTACAAATAAGCTATCATCATTTCATGGGAATCAAAACAGTTTTATGAAAAATGCCATTAGACCTCTGTGGATTGGAAGGAATCCGTAGCATGTGAGTAACTTCAAACTGTGGATTCTTTTTTGCAGAGAGTGTACATGGTGGGGAAGGCAAACTCAGTTTTCGAAGACCTTTCAGTCACACTCCGACAGCTCCGTAACCGCCTGTTTCAAGAAAACTCTGTTCTCAATTCACTTCCTCTCAATTCTCTGAGTAGGAACAATGAAGTAAGTAGTGTAGTTATTGAATGAATAAATACATATCATTATTCATTTCCTCCTTTTATGCTACATAAACTTCTGAAATTTTAGAAAATGAAAAATTTTGCAAGTCTGACAGAGTAGATTCTTTTGTATAATTTTCTTCCCTTTTTTTAAAAAAATTTTTTTCCCCATGCGAGAAAGAGAGATGGGGGGGTGGACAGGCACCCCAGTGGGATCTTCACATCACAATCCACCCCTAGCTTCAACCAGCCCTGGATTATGGGTATACACATGTCCAGCATGTTCAGGGAGGTCTCTGGACATGAACTCAGAACCTTCCCATGAGGGTCAGCCTCATAGACATCACATTACTGATTATGTCATCATCCAGTGCCCATAGTGTAAGTTTTTAATGAATCTCATGAATAAAGTGATGCCTTTTGCAAGTTGAGCTATGGTAAATAGTATCACAATCTAGGAACCAGCAGGTGGCATGGTGGTTAAGGTGCTGGCACTCCCACATGGCTGACCATGGTTCAAGTCCTGGACCTGGGGGCTTGCTTTCTCACTTTTCCCCTCTCTCTGTGTGTCTCTCTCTGGTCAAATTAAAATAAATGAATGAATAAATAAAAGTAAATAAATAATTCTTTTTAAAATATAGTATCACAATCTAGCACGAGGGTTGCCAGCTATTAATCCAGACGAGCCAGATGTTGTAGTGTCTGTCCGGTGGCTGGTAGGCTATGTAGATCCGGTAACATGGGGGCCATTATTTACTTCCTCGACTGATGTGTTGCCTCCTCCTTCTCATCGGTTCTCAACACTCCGGTGGAAGAGGCCGCCCACTCCTACTTCTGACTCCTGTCCTTCAGCTCCATCATCTGCTCATGTACCGTCACAACCACATGGCGTGCCACCTGTTTGTCGGCCAGCCCCCCCCTGGATGGCCAGGCCCACCGTCTTTTCCTCTCTGAGGCTGAAAGGTTTTAAAGGAAGTGAGCAAACTAGGCACTGGCAGGATCTCATTGCAGTGTGCCAGGGTCACCTGAGGGCCTGAGGAAAACTCAGGGTAGAATTTGGATGTTCTACCGTGGTCTCATGGAAAATGCATCTACTGAGCGGTAGTCACTGTGCTGGGGATGGCTGTCACCTGTTTGTCAGGGAACTGTTTTATTGTTTTCTTTTGCTTTCTTTATTCATGGTAGAATGCCTGCCCATGCACGTAGGAGGAAAAAGAGAGACAAGCACCCCAAATAGGATCCTCAAACCACAATCCCCCCTTACCTTCCACCAGCACTGGGTCATGGGCATACACATGTCCAGCATGTTCAAGGAGGTCTCTGGTCTCTGGACATGAGCTCAGAACCTTCCTCCAGCCCTCCAGCCCTCCAGCCCATCTGATCTCAGGCACTCACATACCTGCCCAGCACATTTTGGGTCTGCTGGGCCAGGGATGTGAACCATGGTCACCAGGTAGGATCCAGCTTCTCTTTAGCAACATATTACTGCTGTGCTACAGAGCCAGCCCAGAAACAATGTTTTGTATGTATTTTCCATTGAAATGAACCTGCCAAGTGGAGGACGGGTTTTTTGTCTGTTTGTCTGTCTGTTTGTAGAGATTTTTGCTATAGGGTGCATGTACTTGCCAGAAGACAGAGCCAGAAAGCGAGAAATCACCCCCCAGGGGGGATGGCCACACCGCAATTCCTTCTCCTCCAGTCTCCTGTCAGGATCTTGGGCACGCACACATGTGCCCCCAGTGTGAGTTTTAGGCTGCTAAGTCCAGGACTCAAACTCTATTCAACTATGTAGGAGTCCAATGACGGAACCAATATGCCATCTGCCTGTCCCGCAGGACGGTTTTCTGAATTCAGTTACGCGATTAACATTTGTAATATCCCGTGCTTTACTTGAGAAATGGCAAGTGCAGATCTCCGAAACGTATTTCAAATAATGCTCATTTCTTTTGGCTCTCTGAAGGTTGACCTGCTCTTTCTCTCTGAGCTGCAAGTGCTACATGATATTTCCAGTTTGGTAAGTAAGCTATTCTCCTTTTCCAGTTCCATTTCTTTGGGTTTCTAGAGAATCCTTGAATGATAGTGAAAAGTTGGACTAAGTATGCCCTAGACTTATGTATGATCCCATGAAAATTGAGAAATTAGTGGTGACGTTGGGAATTCTGAACTCATCTCATGGTACAAATTATTCTGTATTTCTTTCAGGAGCAGCAGTATATCCTCCAGGTACACTGGCCTGGGAGTCAGAACACCCTGGCTACAGTCCTAATCTGGCCATTGATAACGTTAGACATTGACTCTTACATCCTCGTCCTTATTTTCACTTTTCATGGGTTCAGTTATCTGTGGCCGGTGTGGTCTGAAATGTTGAAAAAGAAAATTCCAGAAACCGTTCATGAATTCTTAAAAGTTCCGTGCTGTTCTGAGTAGTATGATGAAATCTTGTACTGTCCCACTCTCTCCCTGCTGGGAAATGAATCATCTGTCCAGTGTATTCCCTCTGCATAAGCCACCTGCCCATTCATTCGTTAGTGGTTATTGGGTGGACCGTCGCGGTACCTCGGTGCCCCAAAGCACATTTTAGACTGTATGTCGTGGCAAACTGGTGTGGTTCTGTTTTGCCTAGTTTGGTTAGGATAAAACTTCAGCCAGCTGTTTGATGTCTTACTTTATCCACACTATTTTTTTTTTTCTGATTTGTTCTAAGTTGTCTCGTCATAAGCACCTCGCCAAGGATCATTCTCCTGATTTATATTCACTGGAGCTGGCAGGTCTGGATGAAATTGGGAAACGTTATGGGGAAGACTCGGAACAGTTCCGAGACGCCTCTAAGATCCTTGCTGATGCTCTACAAAAGGTAGGTATCACTGTGCGGTACGAGGCTGGAGCGTGACCACTCACTTCTGGCTTCCTCGTGGAAAAGTCTGCTTTGTGCAACACTGTTGGTTGAAGCCTTCCTTGACTTCTTCGGGGGTCCTCTAAGGAAGTGGCCAAGGATGGAGTAAGGTCAGAGATGTGTATTCGGATGGCTCTTCCTAGTGCTGGAAGGGGCAGCATTATCCTAATGATCAGTAACTCCAGCACAGTACTTTTTTTTATTGTGGTAAAATGTATTTGCTTGTCGGGAAGGTCATGACAGATTTTTCCATGTTTTTCAGTGCAAAAATGCATCATGACTTTCCCAGCGACCCAATATATAACATAAAATTTACCCTTTTTAATCATTTTTTAGCATACAGTGCAATGGCATTATGTCCATTAACATGGCGTGCAGCCATTACCACCATCCTTCACCAGAACTTTTTCATCTTCCCTAGCTGAAACTCTGGGGACCAGCAGTTAGCGTAATGACTATGTCACTGAACTCCCATGTAGTCAACTGCGGTTCGAGTCCCGGACCTGGTGGCTTAAACTCATGCCGGGCGCGTGTGCGTGCATGCCCAAGATCCTGAGAGGAGAATGGAGGAGAAGGGATTGTGGCATGGCCATCCCCCCTGGGGAGTGATTTTTCACTTTCTGTCTCTCTGTCTGTCTTTCTGGCAAGCGCACGTGCCCTATAGCAAAAACCTCTCAAAAAAAAAAAAAAAAAAAAAGCTCTGTCCCCCTTAAATACCATGGAATGATCGAAATAAAGCCCCTAGCACAGTGTCAGACATTTAGCAGATGCATAATAAATGCTAATTCCCTTAAAGTTATTACCCGCAGCTTTTCAGTGCAGCTTCACGTTGAAATCTTTGTCAGTATTTGTGATTAACGAGGGACTACTTAAGGAAGATTCCTTTATTTCCTTCTCCTGCTTTCCTTCCCCCAACTTCTATGCTAACAAGTTTGGTCTAGTTTTGAAGTTATTTTATCTTGAATATTTGAGTATTTAAGGCTGTCTAAAAAGCATATGGAAAACGTGTATTAATGAAAAACCTATCCATGGATTTCAAAGTTTTTTACAGCAGAATAAACTTATTTCATTCCATTTTTCCATGACCTTTCTCAAGTCCTCGCATATGTTAGAGTGTGGTACTTTGCTGAGTATTTCTTAGATCATCAAAATCTTTAAGACTTGCCTTTTGTAAGACCTAGTTCATGAGCCATTAGGTAAGTGTTTGTTGTTCTTATACGACTCTTAACAAGTCTGTGTTGGATTTTAAAAAAGAGTGTAAGGTAGTGCCTATGTTAATTAGCTCGATTGAGCCTTTTCACTGTATACATGTTTCAGAACGTGTTCTGCAAGTTTTGTCAACTAAAAAATGAAAAAATGCATTTGAGATTTCTAATCCTGTCACAATCACTCACTTTCAGTTTGCAGATGACATGTACAATCTTTATGGTGGGAATGCAGTGGTAGAATTAGTAACTGTCAAATCATTCGACACATCCCTTGTGAGGAAGACCAGGACCATCCTTGAGGCAAAGCAAGCAGTGAGTACCTTTTAGATCCTGCCGTAAGACTATAAAACTATTTTTTAAAAACTAAATCCGATATCACCTATAGGTGGCATGAATGAGCAGTCAGTAAACCTGGAAAACAAGTTCAACAGGCTTCTCACTGGCATACCTACCTATGCGTGTGTTACAGCATACTCAGTTCTTCCAGCTGTTATCAGATAATGCAAGAATTTGAGTTAGGGATCAAAATCAATCTGTCAGAGCTGATAAGATAATTCAGATATTGGCACCAAGGAAACATGAAAAGCTAATCTGAAGGGGCCCAGCAGGTGGCGTGGTGGTTAAGGGCACTAGACTCCCGACCTTGGTTCGAATCTTGGATCTGACGGGCTTGCTTCCTTTCTCACTCCCTCCCTCCCTCCCTCCCTCTCTCTGGTCAAGTTAAATAAATAAATAAAGTGAAATAAAATAATTCTTTAAAGAAAGGTTAATATGAGGGAGAGGCACGACTCTGTCATCCGCTGCACTCAGCTTTTCTAAGAGGTGCATTGCCTTTGTAGCATGGTCTCATTTTCTAAAATCCTCTCTGTACACCTCTTTATAATTTTTATTTATTTCAACAGTTTTTTGGTATGTATCTTGGTTTGACTTTAAGCATTTAGAGACTGCTGGCCATGTGTTTTGTTTTTTTTTTTAAGAAAATGTGTGTGTGTGTGTACATGCCCATTGCATACGTACATACACAACAGCTTCAGCACAACCTGGTGGGGGGTGACGGGAGAGAGCAGTGTAGATACTCCGTAACAGCACGTGGCCCAAAGCATTAGTTGCAGTTGGCTCCCTGGCTTACCGCAGTCAGATGCCCAGTCATTTCTATATTCTCCCCCTCGGACCCGTGTGCAGTCCCTGCCCTGCTCAGTTTCACTGATCGCAGTGTGGGGCTTAGGAGTAAGAGGGTCAAAGCTAATGCCGGTGTAAGATAGTCTAGAGATGGCTGGCTTGGTATTGTCTCATTCTCAATGGATTGAGGTGGAAACACCTCTGTTTAAGACAGCATGGCAGGCTGGATGATCTGAAAACATTTTCCCCTATAAAATACTTGGAAATGCTGGATAAAAAGTAAACACTCTGGAGCCAGCAGGTGGCGTCGTGGTTAAAGGTGCTGGATTCCCACATGGCTGACCACAACTTGAGTCCCAGACCTGGCAACTTGCCTTCTCACTTTCCCTTCCTCTCTCTGTCTCTGTCTCTCACTCTGGTCAAATTAAAAAATAATAACAACAAATGGAATGAAATCATTCTTCAAACAAAATAAGAAAAAATAAACACCCTTTTAAGTGTGTAGTTCAGCTGTCAAGAAAGTAAGGGAAGGGAACCAGCAGTTGGCGTAATGGCTATGTCGCTGGACTCCCACATAGTCGACCGCGGTTCGCGTCCTGGACCCGGTGGCTTAAAACTCACGCCGGGCGCGTGTGCGTGCGTGCCCAAGATCCCGAGAGGAGAATGGAGGAGAAGGGATTGCGGCGTGACCATCCCCCCTGGGGGGTGATTTCTCGCTTTCTGTCTCTTTGTCTCTGTCTGTCTGGCGAGCGCACGCGCCCTATAGTGAAAACCTATCCAAAAAAAAAAAAAGAAAGAAAGAAAGGGAAGTTCTCACAGAGTAAATAAAGAAGAGGAATGCGAAGTCTGTAGTTCGCAGGCTGCCCTGAAGACGTTTCCCAGTTAGGTTACACAGCCTCCTGGGTGTGGGAGTGGAACTGACACCTCCGAATACATGCAGCTCGGGACGCCGGGTCACTTGGCATGCATATATTCAACTTGAGTAAGAATCGCCAGCTTTTCTCAGGCAGCTGGACAGGTTTGTATTTCCGCCAGCAGTGCACGCATCTTCCCTCCGCAAAGGCTCCCCTTCTTGCTGCCGCTTTATCTAAGTAGCTGGAAGCCACTTAGGAGTAAGTCTTGCCAGGCAGATCAGCCATCGCCAGTAAACGGGGGTCGTTTCCTATCTTGAACCTCTTCCTTATTTTCCTTTTCCTTTCGTTGTAGAAGACCTCAACAAGTCCCTATAACCTTGCGTACCAGTATAATTTCGAGTACTCAGTGGTTTTCAACATGGTGCTCTGGATAATGATCGCCCTGGCCTTGGCCGTGATTATCACCTCCTACAACATCTGGAACATGGATCCCGGGTATGACAGCATCATTTACAGGATGACAAACCAGAAGATTCGAATGGATTGAACTTTTCCTTAACGCCACACTTAGAAAAGGGGTTCGAACATTAGCCGTTTTGTTAAAATCTATCTTTTAGTGTGGTTTTAAGTAGATCGTATACTTTAAATTTATAAACAAAAAAAAGCAAATTTTGTTCTCTATTTTGTGTGTGCCTGTGATGTTTTCTTTTTTAGAGTGAATTAGTATGAATTAGTATTGACGTGAATCGAACGTGTCATATAGATTTCCATAATATGCTTGAATATTATAATATAGCCATTTAATACATATTTCATTCCATTTAATAAATGTGGGAATGTGCACTGAAAGAAATGTAAAACACGTAGAATAGTTTGTTATTTATGTTGGGGAAATGCACTGAATTTATTAGAGAAACTCCTGAACGCTCCACTTGCTTACACAGGACGGGGGAAAACCGCATCTGGGCTGTTGTATACTATGAATTATTTGTACATGTCTTCATTTGATGTAAATATCTCTGAAACAAGAGAAAAGGTTTTGAACTTAGAACAGCCAGCCCTAAAATATGGATGTGCTTATACAATCGCTTCATTTTGGAACTGTATCCGGTCAACAGAGGACAGCTGTTTTTTTTTTTTTTCTTTAACCTGTTCGGCAAGTGTGGTGATCCGTATGGTCTAGTATGGAGATTAAAAATACTACATTAATCCAGGAAGAAACTAGCTTTGTGGATTATCGATGCTTGTAATTATTATATACAAAAACAAATCTTTGGGGACATCTTGAGGCATGAATATAAAATATATTTATTTCAGTAACTTTTCTCCCAGTGAAAGTTACTATGGTTTGTGGTACAACTTCATTCTATAGAATATTAAGTGGAAGTGGATGATTTCTACTTTTCATGTGGAAGTGGACCAATGTCTACAAAGAGTGGCAAATAAAGTTAATAATGATTCCAAATTTGTGTCATTGTGATGCTATATTTCATTGTAAAAACCTAACCAAACAGGCTTTTACTTCATCAGAATTTGCGGTGTTGTTATGCAAATAGTCCATGCAGGTTTTTTACATTTGTTTATTCTCACTGCCTCTGGAGATTCAGCATCAGTATAAGGAAGACATTTTAATTATCATTCTTGTTACTGAATTTACATGGAGTATAGGATAAATTCACACTTGACTATATAGAAAAGGTTTAAATTTTCTTATAGCTTTTCATTTTTGGAGAGGTTTTTGCTATAGGGTGCGTGCGCTCGCCAGAAAGACAGAGAGAGAGACAGAGAGACAAAGCGAGAAATCACTCCCCAGGGGGGATGGCCACGCCACAATCCCTTCGCCTCCATTCTCCTCTCGGGATCTTAGGCACACATACATACGTGCCCGGTGCGACTAAGCCACTGGGTCCGGGACTTGAACCGCAGTCGTCTACATGGGAGTCCAGCGACATAGCCATTATGCCAACTGCTGGTCCCCCTGTAGCATTTTTAAAGATGAATAAGCAATTAATTGGTTAGCATATTAAGGAACTCTCTAAGGTAGAGGCTTAAGGTTACAATGTTAATTCTTTTTTTTCTTTATTCATGATAGACATGTGCAAGAGAAAAAGATTGGGAGAGACAGAGACAGACAGAGGAGCATCCTCTACAGGGTCTAGTTACACCATGATCTCCCCTTCCTCCAGTCCTCTAGCCCACTGGATCTTAGGCACATGTGTGTGCCTTACATGTTTCAAGCTGACCAGGCCTGGGATTTGAACCACAGTTGCCATGTGGGATCCATCTTCTCTTGAGCAGCATATTACACTGTACCACATAGCTGGTCCCAATTTTCTTAAAGGATATACATTAGGAGACCAGCAGTTAACGTAATGGCTATGTCACTGAACTCCCACGTAGTCGACTGCAGTTCACATCCCGGACCCGGTGACTTAAAACTCACGCCAGGCACGTGTGCGTGCGTGCCCAAGATCCCGAGAGGAGAATGGAGGAGAAGGGATTGCGGCGTGGCCATCCCCCTTGAGGGGTGATTTCCTGCTTTCTGTCTCTCTGTCTCTGTCTGGCAATTGCACATGCCCTATAGCAAAAACCTCTCAAAAAAAAAAAAAAAAGGATATACATTAGAATATATAATTTCATGACTACATAGCGATATGATTTTACTATAAACATGCCTTGGACTTAATAGTATTAACTGGTTCTGCTGCTTTAGAAAGGTAAACCGTTTTTAAGTAACACTAAGTTTGGCAGGTTTGAGAAAATGAAATCCATTTAAGTTGTTTCTACCACTTATTGGAAGATACCTTTGACAATTACAGTGGGTTTTTTTTTTTCTTTTTTTAGGAGAGGTGTTTTTTTGCTATAGGGCGTGCACTCGCCAGACAGAGACAGAGAGACAGAAAGCAAGAAACCACCCCCCCCAGGGGGGATGGGCACGCCGCAGTCCCTTCTCCCCTATTCTTCTTGGGCAAGCATGCACACGCGCCCAGTGTGAGTTTTAAGCCACCAGGTCCAGGACACGAACCACGATCGACAACATGGGAGTCCAGCAACATAGCCATTACACTAACTGCTGGTCCCTACAGTGTTTTGTTTGAAAGAATTATTTTACTTAATTTTTATTTGTTTATTTATTTTAATTTGACCAGAGAGGGACAGAGCGAAAGGGGAAGTGAGAAAGCAAAGCTGCCCGGTCTGGGACTTGAACCACACAGTCTGCCATGTGGTAGTCCAGTGCCCTTAACCACCATGCCACCTGCCGGCCCCTACAATTGCAATGTTAACATAGAGTGGACGGAATTTTTGTTTCTTGTTTGCCTCTCACTGAATATAAGTAATAATGAGGCAGACACTCAAGTTCACAGGGAAGGTAAACAGCCTATCCTTCCTCGCCACCTCCTGCTGAGTTGATGGAGGTGAAGGTGTTCAGCTGCCTAGGGGAAAGGTTCCCACCCTGACCCCTAGGGAAACCCACAGGCGGATGTTTAGGAAGCAGGAATCTATAAAGCTGCAGAGTGGTTAGAATCCATCTTTCTTTCACAACATCCTTACATAAACATTGCTGCAAACGTTAGATTGTTATGATTAAATACGGAGGAAACCAATGTCTTGGTAATTTAAAACTGATGAGACTTTTAAGTTCTAGGAGGGAAGAAAAAAAAAATTAATTACATGACAGCACTAATCCTTACAGGGTAAATGGCATCTGCATCCGTCTAACTATGTTAGGCAGAAAGCAATTAATTAAAATAAATGTTCTGCCAAGATTATTATACCTGTTGCTGATGATTTGCTCTTAAATGAAGCCTCATTTGTTCGGGAAAATCAATCACAATGTCGAGATTGGTGTGAAAGGCAGACTACCCCACTGACACTGAAAGAGAAAACCCAATCGCTTCCTATCTAATGGGTGGAATGTCCCGGTTTCCAAAATTCTGCATGTGGTACAGACTGCTCAGGACCTAATTCTTTTAGGCATAATATAGAATCAATGTTTATTTTCTTTGGCTATGTCATTCACCCCCCCCC